CTGTCCCGTCGGAATTTTCAATAGCTGAATCTTCCACCTATAGAAATCGACGAAAACAGAGAGTGCTTAAGATGACAACCAAAAAAACTAAGCAAAATCAGCTGGATCAAGCACAGAATATAGGATTTGAGAGTTTGCAACCTCTCATAAGTACAATTGAATAGCATAATCCTGAGGGTGTTCAGATTTTAAATCAGTCTAATCAAGTTGTTCACTAATTACAATCGAATGCGTCTCAGCTTTCAGGTACTTAATATAGCACTGCTTATTAATATAGTTCTTCCCATCAAGTAACTGATTTTATATATCTTCAAAACTCTTTCTATCTTCTTAGAACAGCATAACCAGCTTTTTCCTTTACTTGAAATCAGTGATTTTTTTTTCCATTTTTTAAAATTTAAAATTTACTTTTTCTACTATAAATTATTTGTTCTAAATGCATGAATTTAAACCTTTTTTCATGTATCATGTAAATTTTTCCATTTTTTAAAATGCATAGACCTTTCACATTCACATGATAACAAACATTTTTAACTTTAAATTGAATATTGAAAACCATTTTTTTCCAATTATTTAATTTATCTAATTCAAGTGGCTGATATTGGACTCTACTTTACAGGTATACTTGAACAAAATCAAGGGAAAACTAAGAGAAAACGTACAAGTCTTTAACATTTACATTGTTAAATGACTTGGGTATTTTATATTCTATTATTGTTTATTAAACAAGTTAAGTCATTTAAAATCGATCTTTTATTGATCATAGGAAGAGTTCAAAAAAAGGGCGAGACCTGTTAGATTGCAGTCCAGGTGCGGCAAGCATTCTTCCAAAACAACCAGATTGCCCACATTGTGGTGCAAAAATTTTTTTCCATGAAACAGCCAACTTTTGCTATTCTAATGGAGACACAGTGTTAGCTAGCAACCCAATTCCAGCTCCTTTAAAAGAGCTATTAACTTCATCTTCAGAAAAGGCAAAATTATTTAGAATATGTATAAGAACAATTAACAACATTTTTGCTTTCACTTCTTTTGGAGTTAAGTGCGAGAAGAATCTAGCAAAGAGAAATAAAGGTGTCTATACCTTTAGGATTTAGGGGCAAGTTTATCACTTCATTAGTGACCTAGAGGCCTCAAAAAATTTGCAGTTGTATTTTCATGATACTGAAAATGAGCTGACAAATCGTTTAAATGCATGTCCAAGGCTAACAGAAAGTATTATCCAGAAGGTTATGAATATCCTTGAACACAATCCATATGCTCGATTTTTTCGTGGTTTAAGAGAAGTTCATAATCTTGATACTTATCGTATTGTCTTGAGAACGCTGCCTGCTGTAGACCAAAGGGTATTTAACAAACCTACGGTCTCCCAAATTGCTGCATTGTGGGTTGAAGGAGAAGAAAATGGGGAAACAAGCCTGAGAGATATTCGAGTCCATACTTATGGTGGTTATTGTCACAGTATAGAATATTACTATGGCTGTTATGACCCCTTGCAGTACCCTCTTCTTTTTCCTTTTGGTGAACTTGGTTGGCATCAGGGAATCCAAAAAAAAGGAAAAAAGGTCTACAAGAAAAAGACTCGAAATAAGAATTCTGAAAGTTCAATTTCCCCAATGCTTGCTGCTACTGCTGAAGAACTATTACAGATGGAACAAGATGGTAGGTGCAGCCAATCTTATTCATCTATTTGTAGTTCAGTTCAGCATAGTAAATTAACTAATTATTCTGTAATTTGTCTACCAGCAATGGCGAAGATTGATAATGATCCAAATTTTGTTTCTGTGAGAGAGTATTATGCTTATAAGTTCTAGATAAGGGATAATGATGAGTCTTTTTTGTTTCATTTTGCTAGATTAATTCAGCAATTTATAGTGGATATGTATGTTAAGCTTGAATCTCAAAGACTAGATTTTTATAGATCACAACAAGAGGAAATAAGGAGAGAGTTTTTGCAAGGAATACAAAACTTTGTGGCTGCTGGTGAAACACAGGCAGCAAATATTGGTCAGAGAATTTTTTTACCAACAAGCTTTATTGGAGGGCCAAGAAATATGAGAAGGAAATACATAGATGCAATGACCTTGGTCCAAAAATTTGGCAAACCAGATATCTTCTTGACCATGACTTGCAATCCTAATTGGCCAGAAATAAAAAAACACCTAATTGAAAAGGAAGAAGCACAGAATCGGCCTGATTTGATTGTAAGAGTCTTTCGTGCTAAACTTGAAGAATTAAAAAATGAAATCCTAAAGAAAAGTATTTTTGGTGAAGTGGCAGTCTATACATATGTTGTAGAGGTTCAAAAAAGAGGCTTGCCACATGCACACTTCCTCTTAATTTTGAAATCTCAACATAAAATGTTCAGACCTGAAGAGTATGATAAAATTGTGAGTGCTGAGATTCCAGACAAAGTGAAATACCCACACTTATATAGAATGGTTAAAAAACACATGATGTATGGTTCATGCGGTGTTTTAAATCCATCAAGTATGTGTATGACAAAGAATGGCAAGTGTGGGCATTCCTATCCAAAGGATTTTTGTGAGGAAACAACCCAGACTATTAATTCTTATCCAGTATATAGGCGAAGTAATAATGGTGTTAGAGTCAAAGTTAGACAGCATTACTTGGATAATAGATGGGTAGTTCCCTATAATGCCTATTTATTGGCTAAATTTGATTGTCACATTAATGTTGAAATTTGTTCAACAATTTAGGCTGTTAAATACATCTATAAATACATTTTCAAAGGACATGATAGAATCAGTTTTCATGTTAATTCCGATAATCCAAACAGCCATATTGATGAAATCCAGCAGTATCGAGCAGCTCACTGGGTCTCACCACCTGAGGCTGGATGGAGACTTTTTTGTTTTGCTATGGGCGAAATAAAACCTGCAGTAATTCATTTGCAACTTCACCTAGAAAACTATCAGCCTATAAGTTTCAAAAAGCATCAAAATTTGACCAATGTTGTGAGCAATCCAAGAAACAAAAAGACAATGCTCACTGAAGTCTTCTACATAAATAAAACAGATGCAGAAGCTCCGACTCTGAATTGTACATATTCTGAATTTCTAGACCATTTTGTTTGGCTTCCTGATGAGAAACGTTGGAAAATGAGAGGTCGAGGAAGAATAAATGCAGTCCATCCGACTGAAGGAGAGAGGTACTACCTTAGGCTTCTTTTAACAAAAGTCCGTGCTCTGAAGTCCTTCAAAGACTTGAAGACTTATAACGGAGTATAGGTTAGAACCTTTCGTGAAGCAGCACTTTTAAGAGGGCTGCTTCAAGATGATAACAGCCAAGAGCCATTGGCAACCAGATGATCCTTCAAAAAATCTAGATTATTATGAATTAATCCTTACAGATACTCAATCTGTAGAGATTTACCCTATTCCAGATAAAAAGAATCCAAATATTATTAGTCATTCCAAGTGTATTATAAAGAAAGTTTGTTCTCCTAATGAATGGACTTCTCTTTATTCCAAAAAATCCTTTTCAGTAAACTTCATTCCAGATGGATTCACATATCAGGATTACAAAATGGCCTGGTATCGTGCTTTCCTTTTTAGACCATTCAATCATTCCTGGTTTTTTACATTCAAAGAACATTGTAGCAAAGAATTTCCAATCTGGTTCAATCACTGGTGGAAATGGTTTGGACCACAACCCGAAATTCTACCTCCAAATGTTCTCATGGGATTTCAAACCTATCTAAAAAGAGCAAAGGGGGAAGAATATATGAGACCAATTTTATTCTTCTTATATATGAGAATGTACTATATCCAATTAGTGGAAAGTCTCTATGGCCTCAGAGTGATATTCCCATATTAGATCCTCCACTTGCATGTGTCCAACCTGGTAGGCCCAAGAAAGCAAGAAGAAAAGGTAGTTCTGAAAATAGAAGTGGTGTTCATGTGGGAACGCATAATGTGCAAAAATTAAAAAAGCATGTGATCATGCACTGTAGAAGATGTGGTCAGGCAGGCCACAATGCTGCTACCTGCAAAAGTGTTCAAGAAAATAATGGAGGTGAAGGCTGCAGTCAACCTGCTCCAGCTCCTAAACATGCTAGAAAGTCAAAAGGCACCAACAATGGCTCAAGCACAACACATGGAGCTAATTCTCAGGAGCCTGATTTTGCTCATGTGGAAGTTCAAGGATATTCTTCAAGTTGTGTCAATTCTCAGCCACATGGAGCTGAAGAGCAAACTACTTCCCATAATGACACTGGTTCACATGCTGAACGTAATGCACAAGCTACCACTAGTAGTACGAAAAAGCAGCAGATTAGAAAGACTAAGACACCTGTAGGTGCAAAAATTTATTTCTAATTTTATTTTTAATTTTACTATGGTAAATAGCTATTGTTAATATTTATTGTACTTGTGTACAGGTGAGGAGAGTTAGGCCTGTCAATGATACCGACCAGTCTACTACAGCGGCCAACAAACAGTCTCTCCATTCAAAGAGAAAGCTGTCTGAAATTGACAAGATAAGGATCAACACCAACTATGAGTACTTGGGCAAAGAGCCTCCATTCAAGATTGGTAGATGGGCTGGAACATCAAGGAGCAGTAGAAGTAGAAGTGGAAGATCAGATTAAAGGACTTGTTTGGATGTATTCTATGTCTAGGACAATTCCAGATTATTTATATGTGAAACATGGCTAACTTTGTTGGCAGTTGTTTGGAATGACAGTGACAATTATCTCTTTTGTAAAGCAGCTGTTTGGAATGATAGTGATAATTATCTCTTTTGTTGTATTTGGCTTTATGTTTTCTGCATTTGTGAGCTACTTTTCTTTTGCACCACCCATATGTTGGAACTAATACTTCAGTCTTTTATTCATAAATTACAATTTCAAACATCCATGGTGTAAACAACACCAACCAAAATGAGGTGTATATAAAAACACTACAACCTCAACAACAACGAGCTGTGTATTAAAACATTTGACAACACTGGTTTAGGATTTGAAGTACAACAATACTCTAGTAGCCATCAATTTGCAGCCTTCCAAACTTCTGTCCCTTGTTAGGCCCCCAAATCCACATTGATGCATTAACAATTGTCCAGGCTATAACAAAAAGAACAATGACCATTTTTTTCACATTCTTTCTTCCAAGCTTCTCCTTCAGATTTTTTACTTTATCCTCCATTTTCTCAGCTTTCTTTTGCAACTTGAGAATTTGTTGCCGCAAAGTTTCATTCTCGATTTCCACCCTATTTATTCTTCTTAAAAGACCGGGTATGACTTGTTTCGAACGCTCACACATTTCTTCATCATACCAATTCCAATAACCACAGCCATCAACCTACAAAAAAATTATCCAAATTCTTTTTAGCCGATAAATGTCTAAACAATTAAACATTAACCTAATTTAACGAATTTCCTATATCTTCACACACTTACCTTGCCATTAGGACATTCAACATATCTCCTTGCCGGGTTCCTATCAGTCCATGAAGTCTTCAAATTGGTTTTACTGCCACAAGAGCAGGTCAGAGTTGTTTCCTTGCCTTTTCCTCTCATGAAGCTTCAACACATTCCCAGCAAATTGCAAGTCGGAGTTCTTTTCTTAGGTATTCCTCCAATGAAGCTTCAACACATTCCCAGCAAATTGCAACTTCGTATATTGTCCCTCCTACTCCATATTTGCAGAAGAAATCTATTACAGGATAAGGGTTTGCACTTCCTAATTGAACTTACGAGTTGTCTGAAGCTTTAGAGTGATTTATGGTGGAGAGTTTCAAGGAAAAGACTGTGCAGACGAATTTGCCCCTCAAAAAGTTGATTTCCGTCTCTCCTGACGGCACAAATACACGGAGTGACCAAAACGGAACAGATTTACTAGTTCAGTGACATTTCGCGCTAATAAAAAAGTTGAGTGACCAGAACCGGCACTTTGAAATAGTTTAGTGACATTTCGCGCAATTCGCTCATAAAAGAATGACTTAATAAAAGCGAAAGTAAATGAAATAAATGAAAGAAATTAAGGAAAAGCAAGGAAAGCAAAGTAGACATGCAATTCTCACTTAGCACGTTGGATCACATAGGGTCAAATAAGGTCAAAATAAGGGATAGAGTGTACCTCCCTTGAATCGATGCCCTAACGAAGTGAAATTACTAATTTACCCTCCAAAACAATAAAATGGTCAGGGTACCAATTTAATTAGGAACGTTAAAGAAAATATGCAAAACACAAGCTCACTTGGTCATAAAGCTCTTAAAATCATGACTTAAGTGTAATTGAAACAAAGCATAGTAATTGATTGAAGCAAACAAGCAATGAAGTTGTAAAATTAAAACTACCAAGGACCAAATTGAGGAGATCATTCAATTGGTTGGGTCATAGTAGAACGAGGGGAGACTTGGGGGGTTAAAGTGCAATTTTTAAAAGCATTTACATGCATGCTACGTAGAAGCTTTCTGCAATTCCATTCCCAGACAATACAATCTCTGCAACTCCTTTCATTTAGCCAAGATGTACTCATACAAAAAAAAACAACCCAAACTAACTTAAACATCTGCTGAGACTTCAAACCAAATCCACAAAAATGAGAATTAATGATCCCAACCGTCATCTTACAATCAAGAACAAAATAAAAGACTCAACATTCCTAGCAAACATAGCTCCAGATTCTCGGATGAAGGTGAATTGACAACTGTTATTCAAAAGGCACAAATGCAAGGACAGTGGCAACCAAACAGAAAGTGGAATAACTAAGTGTTTCCAAGTTGCAGGCAACGTCTGTTGCTGCAACAAGCAAATGCCTTTAAATTACGGCAAGCAGAAACACGACATCACCATCCCGTAGCTAACAGCCCACATGAAAACTAAGGCAAGCGTGAACTTCAGCAAGCAAAAAGAAAGAAAGAAAGGAAAACAAGGTCCGTCCAGGTGCAAAGGTTCAAATTGTTCATGCATGCATACGAAGAAGATTTCTGCAATTGAGACTCTCAGCAATATAGTTTCTGCGCTTGCTACTCATTTGGCCAAATCCGCATTCATTCAAACAACCCAAACACAAAATGCAAAGACTTGAAACAAAGGTAGGGGTGAAATCAAACAGGCTTCTGAACTCAAAAAACAACAGACGTGATCTGGACAACATGCTAACTTTGAAGAACAAGAGTTTCTGCAACTAAACAACAAGAACGAAGCTTGCGACCCTTTGCTCCCAAGCTCACCGCAATTTTCCAGGTTTCAACTATGCAGGAAGACAGCCGTGACCCAATGAACTCAAATGGAAAACACGAGCTTACCAACTAATTCCACAGGATTCGACCCAACACAAATCAAGCAAGCTGCAACTAAACAAGCAAACTGCAACACAAAAAGAAAACGCAGCAAGGTTTCTCTGCAACTTAAACAAGCAAGCTGCTGCGATTTTGTTTCACTTGGCCGAGACATATCTATGCAAAGCAACCCAAGAAAATTCCAACGAATTTGGTAATTCACAAGCCCAACTGGATATGAAAATGAAATGCAGCAAGGATGAAGGGACTTGCGGTGGTCATACACACAGTATGTCAATGAAATACAAGAACAAAAAATAAACTTGGTCTGTGAAATGCACGGCAACGTAAGGAAATAGCAGCAACGAATCATCTCTCTCGACCTTTGGCTATCTCCTAGACTCACCTATGGTAGCAAACATTACCGAGGAGCCCAAACTACTTCCCCTAACAATCCCAGGTCACAACCCCAGCAAAACAGTGAAAGAAAAGGATCTATCAATTCTGCCGTAGCAAACACGATGTTTGCTCCTGTGGCAGCAGGAAAGTTTTATGCGCAGGCCCCTTGTAGGAGTCCTAATAGACCAGACCATGATAAAAGGATCCAAAAACAGGGGTATAGTATCATGTTCATCAGAAATCAGCAACAACAAATTGCAATCATGAATAAACAAACTAGAAAGCTGTAAATTCTCATACAACCATCACCAGATCTTGAAGATAAAATGAAAGTTTTGCTAAAACCCAAAGACAAAGATGGATTACCTCTATCCCAGCAAGGGTTTTAGACGTGGAATAACCCCAGGAGAATCGTGGGAATGGTGAAAACCTTTGACCCGCAACTTGAAGCTCTTCCTCAAACGTACGGTCGAAGCTTTCTTTTTGGTTCAGGTCTCCTTCCTCCTCTACAGCTTTCTCTCGGCTTTTCTTCTTAGTTTCCTCACCAGCCGTCGCCAACCCTCAGCTCTCTCTCTTGCTCTAGATTTTTCCGCCGTCACTCTGCTCTCTTTTTTTCTCCCCTTTTCAGCTGTCATCCCCTTTCTTTTATATAGCCTCAGAAAACTAAAACCCTCTCAGCAATGGTTGGATGAAGCCGACTGCCTTTTTGGGAAACCATCTGATGGTTCTTGATACTTCACCATTGGGATTTCCAGGCTAAGCCAGGTGGACTGTACTATGATCATCAGACGGGGCTAACCCAAGCCAAAACAGCCGAGAGATGCAGCTGTAAATTTCTTCTGTTGCGACTGAAACCGAGCGTGGCTTCTTTTTTCTTTTTCTTTTCATTTTTTTTTATATTTTTTTTTCAAGAAAACATTGAATTTAAATCAAACAACTAAAACATAATTTTTGAATGCTTTTTCTTTTTCCCGAGAAATTCTATGCTAAAGCTTAAAAATAAAATAATAAAATAAAAAAACTAAAAAACTAAAAAGTGAATAAACCTAGCACGACAAATAAAATTTAAAAAAAAAGTAAATGAAATTACGCTGAAAATTTGGTGTCTACACCAACTTCATACCAAATAATCATACATATATCAGCTTTTAAAAGGCCTATTAATGGTCTACAATTTTCTCCCCAAATTACCATAAAATTTACCAAACACTAACCACAATCTAGATTCCAATTTCACTAGATTTTCACTTACTTCAAAACCCTAACCTATCAAACCCTAACCTTCTAAATTCTAACTAAACCAAACTAATTTCCCCTTTACATTAGGGTTTCATAACCAAACCTAATTTTATTAAGAATTCACCATTCAAATGAATTAATCACTCCAAAAGTTCCATTATCAAGTCTAATCACTAACCAAATTAACTAAACAAAGTTTAAAACAAGAAGCCCTAAATTCCCTTGACTTGACCGAAATTTAGACAGCCATAAATCCACAAAATAAACCATGAAATTCCTTCACAAGTATCTCATAAGCAACAATACATTAAAACAACTCCATGAAACATCATTTTAATCCATCAAAGATCATTCCTAACTTTACCAAGTTTTCAAGTGAGATTTTTACCTTCTAGTTGCAAGTTTCTTAAGTTGATCTTCCAAAACTCAAGCTCCAAGTTGTTCCTCCAAGATCCAAAGTCGAGGTTGATAAAAAAAAATGCAAGAAACAAAAGCTTTTCTCTCTCTTTTTCTTCCTCTCCCTCTCGGCCCTCTCTCTCTCTTTTTCTTTTGCTAGTTTGTTATTTATTAGCTTGGTTTCTCTTGTATATTCTAGAGGTATGCTTAGTCATAAGCTTAGTCATCAACCCTAAGAGATATTTCCCACTCACCCAATCATATAAAAGTTCCACAATTGCCTCTTAGCCCCTACACTCCAACTTGCATTTTGTTCAACTCTTGCCCTTAAACATTTGAACTTCTTACATTTTACTCCATAGGATCTAAACTTAATCTAATCCAAACTAATTAATCTTACTTAGTTTCTCTACTAATCACCTCACTAACTTAATCATCCACATTTATGCATACCTTATTCTTCATGAAAACAATTAAATAACAACTTTCTTGTCATAGGCAAAATTAGGGTTTTAAACCCAACTTATGACTTCTATTAAATTATAATACTAAAAATTTTCTAGTTCAGGGTTTTCTAACTTTCTAATTCTTCCTAACCCATGTAAAATGCATCAAATCCGACATTTACTCATATGAAAACATATATCAACATGCATAAGATTAACTACCACACAAACTTATGATTAATACGAAAACTAGGGTTTTGCTCAAAACCAAAAATTTACACAGTTAGGGTTTTAATAACAACCTAATTTAGGGTTTTCCGAATATTTAGAACATAATCACATTTAAAAACCCTAAAACCGAATCATTCACATAATATCACAGTTAAGGACTAACCGAGGTCTCACATAATTAGAGTACAATGAGATTCACTACTCCAAACCACAATTTAATCAAAATTACTCCCAAGTCCCAACTTAGAAGTCCCAAGATGTTCCTCAAGATTTCCATATTTTTACGTCCCTAAAAGTCTTCCAAAACACATGTTTTCAAGCTCAATTCAAAGGGAAAATCCATGTACATGTTAGGTCAATGGTTCAGGTATAATATGGAGTGAAAAATGTTAAATTGAACCAAGAAAAGTGAAGGAAAGAGTGCAATGGAGAAGAATCAAAGTGACAGCTTTGACAGCTCTTGGCATTTTGATCATAACTAGAGGTACAATTATCGGATTGAGATGAATTTTATGGCATTTCGAAAAAAGACATAGATCTACATTTCTTATGAAGACATCGAAATTCAGTTCATGCATTTTCATGG